AAAATGTGCAACATTAGTGAAGTATGGTCCATCGTTTCTTTGACAGAATCTGAAGCTTCAAGCCAATGGCTAACAACTGGGTGGAAAAATATAAGCCAGGAGAACAAGGTGCTGCATTTTCAAATCAGAGGAGAAATAAGAGAGCATTTGTCAGAGAATCCTTAGGGCGAGGCACTGGCAACAGAACGATCTTGTAATTTAAGAAAATAATAGATAAGTTGTGTGAAGGAGGAGTTCAGTGTGAAAACAAGAAGGCACGGTTGAAACAAGCTGAATTCCAACAGCACACCCCAGACAAAATCAACACGCTATGAACTTGGTTACCAACTTAGTGCCCTTTTGGGGGGAAAAAAAAAGTTCCAAAGGATGGAATACTGTTTATAATTTATGCTATCAGAACACTGGACCATATCATTGCTCTTAAATGATTTAAAAACGTGTCTATCAGACTAAGGACAGGGAAGATGGGGTAGTCATCTTTGTATCCCAGAAGACTTAGCGCCATGGTAGTCAATGATTATTGATTGCCTAGGATCGTGGCTCTGATTGAAAAGCAGTGTCACGAGGACCTCAATTTACCATACTAGAATGTTTTTGTTCAAGGTTTACAGAATAAACCTTTGTTCTTTCTTTCAAAAACAACCAATGCAAGAGGAGCAAGAGAATGTTTGTGCTTCAGTTAACAGAAGACCTCCAATTAGGAAATGTCCTATCAAGCTGGGAAATCATTTGGAGTTTTTCAAACTCTCCTTAAAATAAGAAAAAGAAAACTGGGAATCAAGGTGATCGTATAAACTATTCTAAAGGCAAAATGAACCTTTACTTGAGATGGTTGGGCAAATCTATTGGGGGCTGTTTCTTACTTAGATGCTAGACATTATTTCCAGTACTCTTTTGTACCTGTAGACAGTTTCAGGCCGATTTATGGAAAGAGACCACCGTGTAGTCCCAGTTCTATTAAAAATGAAAAACCTCTATAAGAATGCTACTTAATGTTAGCTTTGACGATCGGTTTTAAAACAGAAAGCCCTAGGGTGGAAACAGAAAACCATGATACTTCATCTTCTTCATTTCAAAGAAGCTGTATAAAGCATATAATCATGCAGCCTTAGGTTAACAGAGTAAACAAAGCACAAGGCCAAGGATGCCTATAGTCTAAGGAATACTCAGAAAGTGAATTCTCCTCCAGGCTGCCTGAGGCTGGCCAGCTCATGAACCAGAATGAAGTGGTCTTGCTACAGCAGCGATTCTCAACCTGTGGGTCGCGACCCCCTTTGGGGGGTCAAACGACCCCTTTGGGGGGTCAAATGACCCTTTCACAGGGGTTGCCCGATTCATAACAGTGGCAAAATGACAGTGATGAAGTAGCAACACAAATAATGTGATGGTTGGGGAGGTCACCACGTGAGGAACTGTATGAAAGGGTCATGGCATGAGGAAGGTTGAGAACCACTGCTCTACAGGAATCCTTCACCACTATACATTTCACAGAGCAGGCAGGCAAGGTCATCCTGAATCTGGGCCCTCAAGCCTAGACACTTTGAATGAAAATTTGAGCTTATGGTCACCTCCAAACGCGCCTCAGGAAGACTGTTTTGAGCCCTGAGCACCGTGGTTTCCAACACAGGGAGTGTTTGCAGATGCCAAGGCAGGTGGACCGACTCGCAGTTCATGGAAGGCCAAGATGTGAGAGATGATCACATGCTACTCAAAAGAAGGGCACTGGGAGAAAACCTCCACCTTTGTGCTGCTGCCCAAGCAATGGGTTTCGCTTTCAACTTGCCTGTTGGCTCGTAACATCCAGGCTAAACCAGAGCGGGTCTGGTTTCTGTGACTATTATGAGATAACTCTTATAAGTCCCATGTCGGTGAGAAGATCAGTAGCCATGGCATGATCTTGGAGGTGAGATATCTTTTGATTTCCTCTGCTGGTCAAGTTCAAGTGGCTGTGACATGTCTTCATTTTGCTGCTGAAGTTCATAGCTGTCAAGTGCACGTCCTCGTGGTCCTCTCAGACAGAAGTACAACATATTGTCCAGCCTGCACCATCGTCCCAAGCAGCGACATGCCCAAACACATTGCAGCCATTGTATATGCTGAGTGCTTCCAACCCAGGAGCCTTATCGTCTAGCACAATATCAAACGATAGTTGAAGGTTATCCATAACATCACCAGGGCTACTTTCAAGAAGTAGATCATGAGGCTTTTCTTCCTGATCTCACGAAGTTCCACTCAAAACGGTGCACTATGGGTAACCTTGCTAGTTTTTGAAGGGCTAGTGGCACAACTTCCAACATTATAGCAAGCCACAAGCCACAACAGTACAACAAGCTGGCCGAATGATGATGGTGGCTGTTTTCATTCTCCCCATTTGTGTTGCGTTGGGGCATCCTTACTTCTATATCTTGTTCCTTCATATCCCCTACCCGACACCACAATACTCTTTCTTATTGTCTAACTATTCAAATCTACCCCTTCATCTGGCTACTTCTAATATCTCAATAAGCTTCTGATTGCAAATTCCTCTTTCTCTTGGGACAAGTAATGTTCCATCCACACAACTGCATCTGCCACCGTTCTTCTTACAGTTGTACTTCATCCACATTGGCTTCCTTGCTGTTTCTCATTTCTGCATGGCACAGTCCTGACTTAAAATATTGGAATACCTGTTCTATCTGAACGACTTTGCCCCAAAGAGATCCACCTTGCCCCCTCCCTCCCCACGACTGAATCTTTGATCAAATATCACCCACTTGCCAAGCCTTCTTTGACAGTACTACTTAAAAATAGAAACCTGTGGTAGGCAGCTTGGAGGGTGGTTGCCAATGATTATTTTCTGGAATGTACGTCTTGGTGCATGTCTTTGCCTTGAGTGTGAGCTGGAGCCCAGGGCTCGTGTTTTATGAAGATGATATGGAAGAATTCAGAGGAACTCGCCCTCAAGATTACATAAGAGGGACTCTGCATTCTGTCTTGTTTTCTCGCTGTGATGAAAGCCAGCGATCATGGTGTGAGTTGTCCTATCACTACCACCAAGTCAATGGCGACTCAGAGTGACAGCCTGTGGGTTTGACACTGTAATTGTTTACAGGCAGAGAAAGCCCAATCCTTCTCCCTCAGAGCTGCTGGTGGTTTCAAACTGGTAACCATGCGGATCACAGCTCAACCTGTAACCACTACACCACAAGAACTCCTGCCCAATGGGCAGGGACAGTAGGTCAGTCAATCCCACCTGTCAACAACCAGTTAGAAATTGTGTTTCTGCCTCCCCTAATCTCACTAGGAGTGGTAAAATTAGAATATTTTGTCTTTTATTTCTTTACCGATACGTTCTCATTGATTAATCTATATCTGGCACCAAGAACTCAGTTCATAGATATTTGTTGGCTGCATAAAATACCACATTGCTTAACACCAATTAACTGCTTGTCCTCCCCAACTAGCTCCAAAGTTTCTCAACAGTTTCACCATAATAAAAAGTCTCCCACCCAACTCCAGGTTTAGAGCATTTTTGTTGTTCAATAAATATTTACTAAGAATATGAATTGATGAAGAAATTAGTGAAAAATAGGAAAAATGGAATAAAAGGATGGTGGAATATTTTCATGAACTTTTTGAAGCCCCATTCTATATCTATTGTTTCCTACTGGAAGGAATATTTGTTGTCAATCCTTAATTTTCAAGTACCGTAATTCGTATCTGAGTCGTAACTTATACTCATTGACATATACAATGAAAGAAACATGTTTTCTTCCCCGCACAGTGTCCTTGAAAATGTGCATTCTTTCCCATAGCAAAACAAACTTATTTAGGAAAATGCATTAAAATAGCATATTGAATGCCCCTCCCACTCCAATCTTTGCTTCCAACCTTGAGTATTGCCCTGGTCTTATTGGTAGGAGACTAATGTCTTGGAGTTACCAAAATTTCCACATTCTAAAAATAAACTTGAGGATTGAGAGTTGAATTGAAATCCAGCACTTTCTCACTTTTAAATTCTTTTTTGACTTAATTTCAGAAATTCTATAAACGGTATTCTCCAAAATAGCTGTGGTTTTGACATTTTTATTGGTTCAAATTTGCCATAGAGAGTGACTAGCCCACTTTTCTCATAGTAAATGAGGCAAAATAAAAAACATCAATGGATTATGTTCTTCTTCCAATCTTGGCTCTCAGCTAGCTGTAAGGGTTATATTCAAAAGAAATTCTCCAGATCCATTTTCTTGAAGACCCATCAGTTTGTCAGATCAGAATTCACACATTCCAAATTCAACAGACTTATAGAAAAGCTGAACATCACCTCCATTTCCCCAATGGAAAGAACTTCCATTGTGCTTGGTAGAGAATTCTTGGGATCTAAAGAGCTGAGACTGGCAAGTTTACATTTTGCTGAACAAATACTCAAGTACAAAATGTTCAATGATCTTAATGGATGAGAAATAAAGTTGTAGAAGGATTTTGCCTAATGCAGCAGGAGGAAAGGATTATTTTTCCCAATGAAAATAACTCCAGACAGAATGGGTGGGTTATCTTTCTTTTCATATCACTACATGACATTCCCAGATTAATTTTCTGAAAATTTGAAATGAGATACTTTATACTTTTAAATGTGATTTTATACACACATATATATATATACATACACACACACATACACATGTCTATAAGAAACAATAATCGGCTTTTGAAAGAAACTATAGATTCTCCACCAAGTATGCATGTTACACATCTTCTAAAGAGCTCCATAAAGATAGATCGGGGAAGATTTTCAGATGATAGACACCCAGTTGAGACTACTTTTGACAAGGTGACAAAAGAACTCCTGAACGATGACACTCTCTTTGCTTCTGACTTAAAGCACTTCGATGGGATATCACGGTGATGTTTAGTTCATCACAGAGATTTGTTCTGCTGGACACAGCACGTTGCTAAGCAAAGAGCCAGTACAAGCAAAACACAGGCAGAATGAGTCTGTATAACAAAAATAGAGTCATACTTACCTTTCTTCAATCTCCCTTTAGAGCTTCTACAAGCTGGGTGCTCACAGCTGGGCAACGGTAAGAATGTCTCGTAGTTAATAATAAAGGAAAGAAAAACCCCAGCCACCAAGAACCAGGGTTAACCATTGACAATGGTTTGTCCCTAAAGTTCCACCCTGGGAATGTACATAGGCACCCCCTGGCATCTTATAAAGCAGGTGACAGCCGGTCAGCTGAGACCGAGGTTGCCTTGCCACCTCTACCCCTGGAGGAGGTTCAATGTGAAGGTCATTCAAGCATGCTTTGACTAAGCTTGCACGCAGTCAGGGTTACGAAGGAGGAAGATATTTTCTGGGCCAGAAATACGCTCGCCAGTGCCAGTAAGTGATGCAAATATTTACAGACAGGGTTGTTGCGGGCAATCCTGTGGCAGGTGTCAGACTTTGTCTGACAAAGAATCCTATGGCCCCAGAGGTGATTGTCTGCATCTTAAAAGGTGAGCCTGGGAATTGCATGCCAAGGAAAACTGAGACAGCTAACTTTCAACAGCCAAGCCTTGATTCACTCCTTGAATCAACACACCTCCAACGATAACTTACCTTGCGCAGGGCCATACCAAAGAACTGACCTTCACAGCTGAGATTTCCTGCTGCACGTAAGACCGAGACCACAGCTGGGGATACTCACGTGGACTCAGAGCTTGCCACTTCCACGCTAAATGAAACATAGATATTGGGCCAGGTCTCAAATGCATCCTATGGGGCTTACACAGTCCTAGTAATCAGTCCTAAGGGATTTAATCGAATCTGCTCAGCTGCCTGCATTCACCACCTCATGTCAGAAGCTAGTGTGTGAACTTGTGGAGTTGGCCTTCAAATGCTTGCGTCAAGGTAAAATTCCCAGGGATGTGAAAGGCAGACAAGGCACTGGAGAAATAACAATCCTGAGCTCTTTAGAACTGCGGTTGCTGAATCGAGGCGTCGTAGCCGTTCTAGTGCTGCTGTAACCGAATACCACAAATAGGTGGCTCTAACAAATAAAATTTTATTTTCGAAATTAAGAGCCAAGAAGAGTAGATTCAAGGCGCTGAATCCAAGGAGCAGCTATCTGTCTCTGTTGGATGTGGAAGTAGGTCCTTGTCTCTTTTGAGCTTCTACTCCTGAGGACCCTTCCTGTGGCTTGGCATCTCTCTTCCCCCACCTCTGCTTGCTCACTTGCTTATTTAATCCTTTCCGTATCTCAAAGGAGGTTGACTGAAGACACACCCTCCACTAATGCCCTTTCATTTAACATAACAAAGAAAACACATTCCAACATGGGATTATAACCACAGATGTTTTTTACTGTTATTTCATTGCCCTTGATTAGGTTCCAGTCAATAGCAACCTGATGGATAACGGAAGCAGACTCTTCCAGGTCCTTGCATCAGTGTGATCATTGAGTCATCTGCATTGTTTCAGCCACGATGTCACTCTCTCTCCTTTAGCTGTTTCCTTCCCCCCCCACCCACCCCACTCTCTTTCTCTTTTTGACCCTCTCCCATACCGAGCACGTTGTCCTTCTCCAAGGACAGGTGCCTTTGATAAATGTTCAAAGTCAATGCAATGACGTCTTGTACTCCTTGCTTCTAGTGGGCGTTCTAGCTTACTGCTTCCTGAACAGATTTGTTTGTTCTGGCAGTCCATGGTATATTTAATATTCTCCCCAAACACCCTAAATCAAAGACATCATATTTTTTTCTTGGGTCTTCCTTATTTTTTCGCCAGCTTTTGCATGCACGTGAAGCATTTGAAGATACCGTGGCTTGGGTCAGGTTTGCCTTAGTCCTCAAAGCTTTGCTCTAGACCACTTTGAAGAGGTTATTCGCCACAGATTTTCCTAATGTAATATGTGTTTGATTTCTTGGGTGCTGCTCATCAAAACAATTGGTTCACGTGGAACCACTTCACAAGTTAGCACATGATCAAGAACTGAGGTTATTGATGGAATAAGATGTTATTGAAGGAATAAACCCAAGCTGTGATGAAAGTATTGGTGAAAAAACGAAGCTCCAAATTTTAACCAAATATCCATCTAGATGTTTCAACAAATAAATGCAACATTGGAAGGTCTCACTCACTTATGCTAAGAAATTTAGAAGACAGATATGTGACCCCCACACTGGAAGAGATCCATATAGGTGCCCATTTGAAAGAAAGGTGATCCAATAGAATTTGGAAATGATCAAACAATATCACCAATAGCACGCGCAAGTAAGATTTTATTGAAGATATTTTAAAATTGATTGTAGTAGCAAATCAATAAGAAACGTCCAGAAACTCAAGATACGACTTGGAAAGAGGGATCACAATTCACTGCCACTGAGTGGATTCTGACTTATCATGGCCTGAAAGGACAGATTAAACCTTCCCCCTTTGGGTTTCTGAGACTCGGTCTTTATAGGAGTGGAAATGCTCGTCTTCATCTACATCCTATTCCAAGGGATCAATTCAAAAGCGTCCATTCTTCTACGGCCTTCTTATTCGTAGTGTCTAGCTCTTCCATACATAAGAGGCAATTGAAAAGACATTAGTTTGGGCAGACACACCCTAGTCCTCAAAGTGATTGCTTTGCTTTTTAAGATTCTGAAGCGGTTTTAACCTACACGTTTAAAAATCTGTTCATTTACTTTCTGCCCCTCCGAATTCCTGCCTCTCAGAGCTGGGATACTGACTCGGGTACCACGGATGCTTGAATCCTGTGGTTTCATCTGCTGGCACTTTCATGGTGTGTCCATCATTCCTGAGTACCTCACATTGGCTGGTGTCTCAGCTTTACTGTTTTGGTAATTAGCATTCGTGAGCCAAGATTAATGCTTTTTAGAGAATGAGGTAGTAATGAAAGGAAATGAAGTAGAAAAATCCCCTCAGTTGTAAATAACAATGCTGTAATTCAGCATGGAAAGGCTTTACAAAATAGTGTTATTAGTATTCTGGGTATCTAAACTACATTACAATTACACAGTATACAACTATACATATCACACCTTATTCTAGGATTAAAACTGATTCTAAATCTTACTAAGGATTCTATATGGTCTCATTCAGGAGGAGGTGCATAGGGGAAAGGTTGACTCTTCAAGTTATCACACTGGGTCACATCAATCCTAGTGTCACCACGGGAATGAAGGTATAGTGTTTTACTCGGAACAGGACTGGCAGCCAGGGGTCTGTGACTACACACCCAGCCTGGTCAACCCCTCAAATTTCAGGAGCCATTTCTAGGTTCTTAGCATAATTGTTGTTTGGTTTGGCTTCCATTTTCTGAAGGCATAAATGCCTGAGAAATGTAGGTTGGATTTTTAACATCACTTGCTAGATGTGTGTGTGTTTGGAAACCATTTAAACTCTGCATCCCAGCTTTGTCATTTGTAGAATGGGAATAGTAATAATAAAGATGAAAAATAATAGTATTTAATAATAGTATATAATAAGATAGTATATAGTATATAATAATATAGTATATAATAATGATAGTATGTAATAAGAATAACAACACTTGACTCAGAATGATGTGCCTGGTATAGGTAGAGTGTTCAAAATCTGTTAGCGGCCATTCAGGTTTTATGATTCTGATGGGAACACATGATTTGGAGTATGTTAACATGCTACAGGGTGCCTGTGGCAGTGTCTGAAACTCTCGAAGGCTTTATCTTACCAAACCCATCTAAAACCAAACAGCCTATTGTTGTCAAGTAGATTTTGGTTCATAGTGACCTTATAGAACAGTATAGAATTCCCCTACAGGGTTTCCAAGGCTATACATCTTTATGGAAGCAGACTCCCATATTTGGATCCCTTGGAGCAGCTGCTGGATTCCAACCACTGAGCTTTGGATTAGCAGCATAACTCTTGACCCCTCTACTATCAGAGCCCCTTGCTATCTTTTCAGTCACCTTGTATGTCAGGAAGCAATGTTTTCTGTGGGTGTCTTTCCTGCAAATTTGATGTCAATACACCAAACTCATTGCCATCGAGGCACCTCTCGCTCCTCGCCACCCGATCGGACAGAGTAGAGCTGCCCCTGGGGGTTTCTGAGGTTGCATTTTTTTCACGGGAGTAGAAAGTGTCATCTTTCTCCAATGGTGGGTTTGAACTGCTGACCATGTGGTTAGCAGGCCAATGCACAACCACTAGGCCACAAAGAGATACTGAAGTTATTTGAAGACCCAAGCAATGCTTACATCACTCTTCCATTTTTACGTCTCAGTGTGAGTTTTCACTGTGGCTTATCCATTCATTTGCCTTGGTTGTCTTGTGATTGCTCTTATGGGCTCCACTTAATTCACTGCTGGTTTGATTGATAACTGAATTCTTTCTATTAATACTCTGTCTCAAAGGACACAAAGGGGACATATACGCCCTCAGTTCTCCAAGGACCATTTCAAGAAAGGTGGCATTGTTGGGGTGAGTGCCTTGGATGATCTTGAGCAGATGAAGCATCCAAATGCAGGATAAAAGACCACAGGGGCGAGCCGTACAGGAGGCAAGAGGGGAGCATTGGATGGCCTCCCAACTCTAAAACTGACTCAGAGGATCATAGCGTGCGTGCCTTCACTCCTTTGTTTGAAGTAAATTCCCAGAACAGACACACCCAAGCTCACATGTACGTGGAAAAACACTTTCTAACGCCAAATCAAAATGATATCAGAAATCGGCCTGTCTGTTGCCTGTGTGCCTCCGAAATCGACCTTAGTTGAAAATTAACCTCACTGATGTTCACTTCTCCTCCCTGAAACCAATCAGAATGGAGGCAAATTGAAGGGCTATGTTATACTAAGAAAGAGTTGTCCAATTAAAGAAAGATGAAAGATTGATGAATTGTCTGTAAGAACTTTGAGTAACACATAAATATTCAACTGATTAGTACCGATGGATAATCTATACTTTCACTGCTGCTCAGTGATTAAGTTGCACCCTAAAAGTAGCATCAAAACAAAACTCAGACTCACTGTCATAGAGTTGATTCTTTATAGGAGTAGAACATCTTGTCTTTCTCCCTCAGCGCAGCTGGTAGTTTTGAACTGCTGACTTTGTGGTTAGGAGTTCAACATGTAACCACTA